TAGGTTTACAAAATTTTTAAATGTGACAACATTCATAAACATTATTCAGGTTTAATGTGAAAATCAAGGTAAACTATAATGGATGCTAATTGATGTAATTCAATTGATAATAAATGAAATCGAGTAAATATTGTTGTTACTGTTTTTTATGTAAATATTATTTATTATTTTAATTTGAAAGATCATTATATGTTTATTTGTTTTAGATAATGTAAGTGTTTTTACTTAATCATTTCCTTTCAAATTTTTAAATTTTTATTGTCATGAAAATTTTATGATCATGTCCCTTTCCTTGCCTTGGTTGCTGTAGAGCAGGGGTCTGCAACCTTTTGCAACACGAATGGGGAATGTTTCCTTATTAGGAAAAGGCTAATATTATCATTACCATTATTATATTATATATCAAGGGCCGTCAACATTTTGTTAATTATGTGCAGACATAGGGTTTTAAAATTATTCAGTGTGCCAACAGCATATGTGTTTTTGTACAAGTCAAGACCAATATATTTGTTCTACAATATATTTTATATAGTAATGTATATAGTAAAATTGAAACAGCTAAATATTTTCTCTGCATAGTAGTAGTTATTGGTTCAGACTTCATGATGTCATTTGTATCTGCATGCTATTGGAAATTGCTTGGCATGCCAACTGAAACATGTGTCCTGTAGATTGCTAACCTCTGTTATATATACATTTACATGTCCCCACAAATATTCCCATTAGAGAGAGTTGCCCTAAAGACATACCATAAGTGAAAACTCATCACAAATGCAGAATGTTTCCTTATTAGGAAACGGCTAATATTATCATTAAGATTATTATATTATTTATAATATAATAACCAGTGGTTGGCAACTTTTTGCTAATTAGACTCTTGACTGTCGTTTTTAATGAAACATGTATAAAGGAAGGATTGCTGCTAAATATACAACTTTATATATATATATATATATATATATATATATATATATATATATATATATATATAAAACAGTTGGTTGGAAAAACTCGGATAGCACAACTTGTAGATATGTCAAAACAAATCGGTGCCCGAGAAAAAAAATGGAAAAAGGAAAGAACTAAAAACATATGAACAAGACTAAACAAATCGTCCAATACCTTAAGTCTTTGCTTTTTGGGGGTTTTATGAATAAATACTGTTTCGCCATTTTCTTTTTAGCAGCTTACCCTGAAGATCCGTTTAGGTGAAAACTAGCTAGGTTAATCTGGCTCTTTAGGATTTATTATTATTATTATTATTATTATTATTATTATTATATATATATATATATAGATAGATATATATATATTGATAATATTAAATGATAGATAGTAAATATAAATATACACATACATATGCAAAATATATAAATATATATACATAGGTGCATACACATACATGTATATTTTTTAATAAAAATTCTGAGAGGATAGAATCCAGGTAGAACTCAATGTCCAGGACAGAGTAAGGATATGACAATGGAATATTAGTGTTTAAGCCTTTTATTATATATATATATATATATATATATATATATATATATATATATATAGATGATTGACTTTAAATGATTGTTAGAATTTGTGGAGAAAAAGGATGCATTTCATTATTACTCAATGATCTTGCAGAAATGACCTCCATCTTCTGGCTTTCTCTTTCTATTTTTTATTTTATTTATACAATGACAGTCAACCTTTACAAGACCCGGGGGGCACTCGAGGTAGAGGTTTACATTAGGAGGCCATTTTTGTGTATACGTGAAGGAGATGACGATTAACCCTAGCTTTGAACAGCTTAAGATTTTAGCCCTTGGGGAAACATCCTGTCTGGAGTAGAGTCTACATGACATGGGTTTGCGGAAAGAAGCTGCTCGAGAAGTAGTTATTCTCACCGATGGAATATGGAGAGAATGTGAATGGTTTGCTGCTCTGTAAGTGGCATGGCGTGTTCTTGCCGTAAAAGTTTGCCTCGGCGGGACCAGGGAATGTTTCGTCCAAGCACTTTCCATGGAAATAGCCGTAGAACAGCGAGAGGCTTGCCACATCCCGCCTGAAGGAGAGGGGTTGAAGAGTGGAGAATAATTCGTCACCCACAATGGCTCGGAAAAGCTTTTGAATCTATCAATAGTGTGGTCTTGGCAGTTCCCGCCCAGATATGACAACAGTACTCCATTTTTGCCATGATCTGGCTCTTTTAACATAAAGCATAGAAGGGACATTCATGTACTTACTGGAGCGATACATGGCGCCGATCATTTTGCCGGCATCTTTAGCAACAGATCGTATGTATGAGTTCTACTTGAGGTCGGGTCTGAGGCCCTTCAAGGAACGGTGTTTCCTAGAGAGCATCTCCATTCATCTTGATTGGTAGTTCGAGGTTAGATCAGCGATGATAGAACGGAACTAGCTAAGTCTTCGAGACATTGAATATAACCATATTTTTTACCCCATTGAATAGTTTGTACAAGATCTGAAGAAAGATCAGTCGCCAATCTCTGATCATCGAGAATTTTAGCGGTGCACCCCTATTGAGTCCTATCGTCGGCATAGATTTTTACAAATGATCTGGGTATATTCTTAGACAGATCATTTATATAGATCAAAAAATGGTTTAGTTCAAGTAGTGACCACTGTGGGATGCCTGCGTTGATCGTTAAGGCAACGGAGAACTGACCATTAATAACTAGCTTCAGGGACCTACCTGTTAGGAACGATTTTATGACCGAGAACACCCTTCAAGTGCTTCCATAATTGGAGAGCTTGTGTAGTAAACCTTTATGGCGCATCTTGTCGAAAGCTTTTGAAATATCTAGTGCTATAGTCCCCGAAGTGTGTTTGGCGTCAAAAAATCTTTTCGTTTCATTTCGTTGTTGGAAGTGCTATCTGATGATCCGGCGTCCTTTTAAAAGGACTCTGGTGAAATAAATTATTAGAATGGTACCTTAAAGTGGTCTGTTTTTCTTTTAATATATATATATATATATATATATATATATATATATATATATATATATATATATATAATTTGTTTACAAACTCTTATCGGTGGTCGAGTCGGAGTTTCGTGATTTCTCACTTGAGACGCGTACAAGAATTATTGTATCATTACAAAATATATTGGTTATTATTTTATAATGAAATGTTTTATAATAAATAATTGTGTTATTATTTTATAAAATAATTAAATAGAATTAATATTAATTAATACACTCACTTTTATCAAAGTCTTGATGAATAAAAAATGACGAAACACAGAGTCGATCTTCGATAAGTATTGTAAATTTATGTTAAAAATTCTGTTCGCTTTGTTAAACGTTGAATTATGCACTTTTAGGTATATCAATAAATTATATTATTATTATTTAATTACATACATAAAAATGTCTTAAAATAATTGTCGGACTTTGTCCATTTCCTAATATTTGACGTCATTTGTTTACATTTGGATACGCCATGAGCAGATATGAATGTACCTGAGAGATTCATTGAAGATTGAAGTTTAAAGGCAGTAAACTCGACCTTGCTAACCGAACGCTCCTCTGTGGCCAAATCGGTTAAAGGCACGTCAGGCTATATCACGGTTCCGTATAGGATAAAGTTTCGATTACGTATAGGATACGGGTTCGATTCCTGTCATATAGCTTGACATCCTGTTAACACTCAGCCACAGAGAATCGTCTGGTTAGCAATGTCAGAATTACTGTTTATAAACACATAGCTTCGACGATTTTTGTCGATCAATCATTTCTTCTCACGAAAGGTATCTTAACGTAAACAATTACAACATATAATGAAATGGATTAAGTCTGAAAATTTAATATATTTTCTGTTTATACGTTACTAGCAGTAGAGCCCGGCGTTGCCCGGGGATGTAACAGTAAGAGATAGATCAAGTATCGACCATCATAAAGACTGAAAAATAAAATTCACAAAGATTATTGTTTAAGGTTGACGGACACGCATGTCTTAATTAGTTTTTTTTTGTTACGAATTGGTCAAAACCAAACTCAAACAAAAACACTGTTTTCAATCGTTATGAGTCTATCGAATGAATAGAATTTTATTCTAAACAATTGTCTTGTAAATGGAATTTTAAAGCATTCTGAATGTAAAAATAAAGAAAAAAAGTGTGTAAGACAATAAGAAACACTACCTGCCAAAAAAAAGTGAAGTTTTGTTGAAATCGGTTGAAAAATTTAGGAAATCAGATCCCATATATAAACGAACACACAAACATACAAACAACCTGGGTTTTATAATAAGTATAACGCGATATGAGTTGCCCCCCTTTCATTCTGGCGACAGAATCGTGTTTTATCGTGTTTTCAAATTGATTTCGTGCAAAAACAATTGTGTTTATCCAATTTTTGGCGCTGTCAGAACCACCGCAAGGTAATTTTACGTAGTCCTGTGAAGTTTTGTTGAAATCGGTTGAAAAATGTAGGAAATCCGATCCAATATATAAACATACAGACACACACACAATCTGCGTTTTATAGTAAGATTTTTGTAGATACAATACATTAAATAATTCGTAATAATAATATGTAATCTTTCTACACAATATTGCTTCCATTGACAGGTGTATAATAATGTAACACCGTAGGAAATTGTAATTGAAAATAGAATTAAAAGCAAAAGAAAAAATGAGCTCATAAAAAAGGACTTTTTTTATAAATCTTAATTTAAAAATAAATCGAAAAGTGTAAAGCTTAGCACGTATAAATAGTTAAATTTTCTCTTCATTTTATTGTTTCCTTTTTAAATTTTTTCTTAGATATCCACTGTGGGCGAACATGTCTTTCGAAATGATTCTGGTGATGGAAAACGACATATTTACACTTGCAAGGAATAAAGGCAGTATTGTCGCGTGGCATGGCTAGAAGAGGCGGCCGGGACGAATATAGACGCTGCAAAGTTGTTTAAGGAACTGATGATGAGGCGGGGTGTTGTCTGATATGACGCAAAAACAACGCGACGTATCGTACGATATTTTAATGAAACTTGCCTGTTTGTATCGCATTTTTATCCCTCCCTGTCTCTCTCTCCCCTCTCTCTATCTGAACTTCACTCTCTCTCTTTCTCTCTCTCTCTCTCTCTATCTATCTATCCCTATGTCTCTCTCTTTCCCTCTATTTCAAACTCCACAATCTCTCTGGCTATCACCTTTTCTCTCTCTCTCTCCCCTCTCTCTATCTGAAATTCACTCTCTCTCTCTCTCTCTCTCTCTCTCTATCTATCTATCTATCTATCTATCTATCCCCATGTCTCTCTCTTTCCCTCTATTTCAAACTCCACAATCTCTCTGGCTATCACCTTCTCTCTCTCTCTCTCTTTCTATCCCTATCCCATTTCTCTCTCTACATTCTCTCAATACTTCTCATTATGCCTCTCTCTATCTCAAATTCCACTGTCCCTCTATCCCATCCTACACACGCGCTCTATCACAAACTCTACTCTCTCTCTCTCTCTCTCTCTATATATATATATATATATATATATATATATATATATATATATATATCACTCTCTTTCTCTCACACTTTTCTATCTCAAAACCTACTCTCTCACTATCCTTATCCGCTCACTCTCACTCTATAGGAAACCTCATTCTCTCTCTATCCCGATCACCCTCTCTCTATCTCCACCCCTTTTTGCTCTCCCTATCGCCCAATCTTTCTATCTCAAACTCTATTCTCTCTCTCTCTCTCTCTCTCTCTCCCTATAACCCTCACTATCCCTATAACCCTCTCTCTCCATTTCTCTCTCTGTCCCTATCCCCTATCTATTTCGAACCGCTCTCTGTCTCCAGCAAGCAGATTTTTTTTTCTCCTGATGATGGCCATGTTGGCCGAAACAATCGAGGAATCTAACTGAAATAATAATAAAAACGAAAGAATATTAATACACAACCCAGTGTGACTGAAGATTTTAATTTTTAAAATTTTTTATTGTCCAATCTCTCTCTCTCTCTCTCTCTCTCTCTATATATATATATATATATATATATATATATATATATATATAGTCTGTGCAAAGGATAAATTGTCCTCTAAATGACGCAAAAATGAAAATAAAACTGACATCTCATTTTAACAGATGTACTTACTAAATTTTGCACAGACATAACTTAAAGACATAACGTAAATTTATTCAATAAAATTATCATTCGCTTCAGCCACGGCCTCCAGACGACTTCGGAATCTCCTGCAACTCTTCTCGATGTTCTCCTCGTTTAATTTGGTAAATACTGCCATAAATCTTGCTTTTATCTTTGGTGTTACAATGAGTCTTTGCTGGTCTCTCGCACAAATGCTCCCGCCCCACATATTAATGAAAGGGGCTGCAGTCAGGGAAGTTAGACGAACAGATGTAAGGGGTGAAATTGTCTGACAGCCATGAATGTCTCTTGTGTGACATGGTGCAGAGTCCTGTTGTCATACGCCCTCTTGACCCAGGGCAGCGCTATCTCTTCAAGGCCCTTGATGTAGGCTTCCCTGTAGAGTCTGAGGCCCTGTGGGAAGATAAATGGCGGCATAGCGTCGCCATCACAATCCTCTGCGCTGTCCTCAGATTGACACCCAAACACATGGAAATGTTCGTATTAGAGCTTCTGACGCGAATGCCAAATAGTACAGCCTGGCGTTTCCAAATTGAAATGCGTCATTTTTCTCACTGACACTGCTCAACTTACCCTTCTATAGTGTGCAGACGGCAAATCAAAAACAACACGCATGCGCGAAATTAAACATAAAATGGCGGTAATTTAACCATCGCAGCCTGTATATTGTGAACTGCGCAATTTAAATTTAATATAATTAAGCATCAATTCTTCTTCTAGAAAAGTTTTATCAAAAGGGACAGACATTTTCTAGTGAATTTATTGTCTTTTCCAAACTGCGTATTATCTTCCGCAAACCTGACTGCCCCAGATCCAAAATTGTGTCTACGATTTTAACTCAAATTTTCAGTGAGGGAAAAAGAAAAGCCAATAATATAGTTAGGGTAGCCGTTGTCAATAAGTGCTTGATTTATTTTTTTAATTCCTTCGGAAAAGCCGTCCTTAGTGTGACAATAAACTACATCTGCGTTCTGGGTAAGACGATAAACTACATCCGACAAGTAAGGCCTCTGATCAAGAAGTTTTGAGGAGCGTGGATTCACCTCTTAATTGCTGGTATTCCCAGGTCCACGCCGATTCGGGGTGGTAACAAATATTAGGGTCCCACCTACCGAACTATTAAAATTTGTTCGGATTAAATAATCTACTGAGGTTGATATGCCATAAATCAAACCAAACCAAATGAAATCAAACCAAACCAAGTCATTGCCCGTACGGTAGAAAGCTTGGATTAGGGCACCTCGTATTCCTGAGGGGTTACCCATATAAGTACTAACCAGGATTGACGTTGCTTAACTTCGGTAGGCAAGTCTTTTCTCTGCTTTAATCCGCACTCTCCAAAGAAGAGAAAAGGAAAGACAGATTAAGAAAATCGATGAAACACAAACTAAAACGAGGGATAAAAATTGATGGGTCAAAACGTGTAAAAATAAGTTTTATTACCAGTAATACATTTTTGTAAAAAATATTATTACCAGCAATTAATTTTTTGAAGAAAAAATTATTATTAGCAATACATTATTACCGGCAATGTTTGTTTTTTTTTTAAAAACTATTACCAGTAAAACCAAAAGGAAACCAAACACAAACAAACCTTTATAAAAAAAAAATGTTTACACAAAAAATGTAATTTACACCCTTGTGCAAATTAATTGAAACAACCGTTTTAGTTTCTTTTCTTTCACCATTCGGTCAATTTTACACCCACTGGAGTTACAGAGTATAATCGATTTCTATTTATTCCTCAGATAAGGGCATTTGCAGTGGTGTGCAGTCATATGAATCTATTTCTGATAGATAGATAGATAGATAGATAGATAGATAGATAGATAGATAGATAGATAGATACACCCTTGTGCAAATTAATGGAAACAACCCTTTTAGTTTCTTTTCTTTCACCATACGGTCAGTTTTACACCCACTGGAGTGACAGGGGTGTAATCGATTTCTCTTATTTCCTCAGACTAGATCATTTGCAGTGGTGCGCAGTAATATGAATCTATTTCTGACTGATAGATAGATAGATAGATAGATAGATAGATAGACCCTTGTGCAAATTAATTGAAACAACCGCTTAATTTTCCGTTTTTTCAACATTCGGCCAGTTTTAGACTCACTGGTGCAACAAGGTGTAACAGATTTCTATCTTTACCTCAGATTAGGACATTTGCAGTGGTGTGCAATTATATGAATCTATTTTTGGGGTGTATGGTGAAATTTGTTCGACCTCGAAAATATTGCGTCATTCGTGATTGCATCAGATTTTCATCACGCCCAGACGCTACTGTCTCGACTGTCAGTTAGTTGTCCTACGGCTATTGTCTGCGATGGACGTTACTCCAAGGAATCGTACGAAAATTGTAACGCTACACGAACACACTGGCAAGTAAGCAAATCAAAGTACTATAGATTGGCCTGGAAACTCTCCTAATTTATATTCAATCGAGAATTTCTGGTCAGTCTGCAAGGAACGACTTCATGGAATAGATATACGAAGTACTAACATGTGCACTGGGTCACGTTTCACCGGAAAAATAGTAAATAATAACGGAATTTTTATTTTGTTTCAGTTAATGTGCACTTGGGTGCAGATGTCAAAGAAATGAGTGGAGGATTATTTCGGTATTTGTTCTTGAATAACATTGCCTCATCCGTAATTGCAACAGATTTTTATCCCACCCAGACACTATTGTCTCGACTGTTGATTAGTTGTCCTACAGCCATTGTCTGCGGTGGACTTTACTCCAAGTAAGCGTACGAATTGTAACGCTGCACGGACACACTGGCAAATATTACCAGCGAGTAAATCAAAGTCTATACACTGGCCCGGAAACTCTCTTGATTTAAATCCAATCGAGGATCTGTGGTCAATCGTCAAGGAACAACTTCGTGGAATGGACATACGAAGTACTAACGTATGCAGTCAGCCATGTTTAAATGGGGAAAATACGAAAAAAAATGTAAATAATAACGGAATTATTCGTTTTATTTCCATGAATATGCACAAGGGAATAAATGTCAATCTGGTAGCATTGCTTACATTCATGTAAAAGAACAATTCATAATATGAGTGGAGGAATAATTTGGTATTTGTAACTTTTATTACCTGCTGAACAGACGAAATCTTTAAAAGAAAAGGATAGGGTGATCGAAACTCGTTTTGAGAAGAGACCACATAAAAATTATCACTTCAGCTGCACGATCATTTCTTATATTTGCAACGAGATCAGGAGTGCTTCTACAACAAAATCGTTTTTCTTTCCCTTTGCAATCACTATTTAAACGTGCCAGTTGCTCAATTTAGTGTTGCATATTTTCCTGATTCCAGCAGCTTATTAACAAATAATTCCGTCTTCATCTCAACATACATATTTCCTTGAAGGCCGCGTACACGCTTTTGGACCTGGAAATTGAAGAAATTGCATCTCCAGACCAGTTATGGCATCAGTATTCGATTTTTGGCCTGATCTTGTTCTTGTAAAAGTAGAGCATAGCAGGACTTTTGTTGTTTAATTCTTTAATAAAAATTCTTTTACACGAAAATATTAATTTAGCTTCTTGGATTAAATCGTTTATGACAGCAAATTCATATCTTTTAATAGATTTTCTTTGGATGAAACTATAATCTATTAACCTTATTAAATAAAAATATCCGCCTTTCGGTTGGATTCAAACCCGCGCCTTAATTTGCAAAGGGTATCGTCGTTAGATCCGATATGCTTCAAATCGTCTCAGCCTCGAGGAGCGCCGACAATCGGGATGTGTTTAATAGTGCCTTATTCGATTTTTGGCCTGTAAGGTATGTTGTTTAATCCTTGAATAAAAATTATTTTTTGTTCTTAAAGCTTTTCACCCCAAAGCAAAGCGGGAAGCCACTAGCACGCAAGGGGTTACAGAGAGTTGGAGCGAGAACAAAGAGGAGTGATAGAGGAAAAGATGAAGTGAAGGATAGGGGATAGATCAAGGTATCTGGAGACGTCGATTGACACTACGTTTGAATAGTTGGTGATTATAACTATCCGGAGGGAGTTCCACAGACAAGAAGTGCGAAACATGAAGCTACTGGAGTAGAAGAGACGGCTGCATTTAACAGTTTCGACAGTGAAAGAGTGAGAGCGAGATGCCAGCCTAGTTGAGCGCTTAAATTCATGAAGACTGGGAACCAGCGAAAGCAGCTCATCGGAGCAGTTACCATGAAAGTATTTGTAAAAAAGACAGAGGGAGGCGACGGCACGAAAAGAGTAATTTAGCTTCTTGGATTAAATCGTTTATAACAGCAAATTCATATCTTTTAGTGTATTCATTTTTGTAGTTTAGGAGGCAAGAATATATACCGGTTGACTTTTTATACGGTGTTGCTTTAACATTAGGACCCTTATAATCAGTAGGTTAATCGAGAAATGGATTTCTTAAATTAAAATTTAATTCAAAATTAAACCATAGTGCAGAATTTATCTTCATAGTCCTATATCATTAACAGATTTTTTTTTCTTTGGATGAAACTATAATCTATTAAACTTATTAAATAAAATATGCGCCTTTTTGTTAGAATCGAACACGCGCCCTAATTTCCAAAGGGAAGCGTCGTTAGATCCGACGTGCTTCAAATCGTCCCAGCCAAGAAGAGCGCCGACAATTACGACGTGTTCAATAGCGACTTATCAACGTAAATTTTGTCAACGTATATTTTTACTTATTAAGATTTCTCGAATATTCAAATATATATATATATATATATATATATATATATATATATATATATATATACACATATATATATATAGTAAAGGTAATGAATACGTTGCTATATAATCTGAGTAGATCCTAATGATATAAAATATTAAAACTTATCCACAAAAAGAGCTCAATTTCGGTCGAAATAACTTCTTTTCCCATATGTTGTGATTTGGGATTTTATTATATATATATATATATATATATACTGACTTTGCTTAACTTCGGTGATTGTATAGGATGGGTTTGGATTGGTTTGTTTTACGGCTTATCAGCCTCAAGGCATTATTTAATGCCGACAAAATTGTTATTGCTGGTAATAATTTTTTGGCTCAAAAATATATTTCTGGTAATTTTTTTTCTCCAAAAATGTAATGTTGGAAATAATGTATTGCTGGTAATAATTTTGTAAATTATTTCTGCTATTAAAACCAATTTTACACTTTCATAGTGTTTTGACCTCCAATTTGGGGGTTAAATATTTTCCCATAGATGGGAATCTAACAGGTGGACCTGGGAACACGAGAAATTAAGAAGTAGTTCCACGCTCCTCAAAACCTCCGGATCAGAGGCCTTGCTGTTGGACGTCGTTTATCGTCATACCCAGGACGGGGATGTAGTTTATCGTCAAACCCAGGACGCGGATGTAGTTTATCGTCTACCCAGGTTGCGGATGTAGTTCATCGTCTTACCCAGGACGCGGACATGTTTATCGTCTTACAGGACGTCAGTTTATCGTCACCCAGGACGCGGATGTGGTTTATCGTCTTACCCAGGACGCGGATGTAGTTTATCGTCATACCCAGGACGCGGATGTAGTTTATCGTCTTACCCGGATGGACGCAGGACGCGGACGTAGTTTTATCGTCATACCCAGGACGCGGATGTGGTTTATCGTCATACCCAGGACGCGGATGTAGTTTATCGTCTTACCAGGACGCGGATGTAGTTTATCGTCTTACCCAGGACGCGGATGTCGTTTATCGTCATACCCAGGACGTGGATGTAGTTTATCGTCTTACCCAGGACGCGGATGTCGTTTATCATTCCCAGGACGCGGATTATCGTCTTACCCGCGGATGTAGTTTATCGTCTTACAGGATGCGGATATCGTTTATCGTCATACCCAGGACGCGGATGTAGATTTATCGTCTTACCCAGGACGCGGATGTAGTTTATCGTCTTACCCAGGACGCGGATGTAGTTTATCGTCTTACCCAGGACGCGGATGTAGTTTATCGTCTTACCCAGGACGGGATCGTATGTGAAGCAGTTTTTCAACTTGATGTGGTAATAAAACGAAAAACTTTATAACTCTTCAATTGCATTGACATATTTACTTTAAACAGAAAAAAAAACAAAAAAAACCTACATTTGCCAAATAGGAGTCGTTTTCGTGGGCGATAACCTTTCATTCTTGCCACGTGGCAAATACTTCCCCTAAGACACACACACACATATATATATATATATATATATATATATATATATATATATATATATATATATATATATATATTTATATATATATATATATATATATATATATATATAAAAAAAAAGATTGCTTGATTGAAAGAGAAAGATATATATTGTTCATGAAATCCGGGCATGTGCCCAGAAAAACACACAAGCCTATTTAGATATGTTTGCACAAGATATAAATGCCTCATTGTACAAAGGCGGGTAATACTTCCAGTCATTTAAACAGTGGTATATATTTTAATTACGAGCGAAATATTTAGCGAAATATTAAGGAAATGCCTTGACAGATTGCAAAGCTATCAATGCAAGCTATTTTCCTAATTTAAATTTAATATTATATGGTCTAGCCAGATGAATTTATAAAGAGATTACATTATTTATTTTTATCAATTCACCTCAAGCAAAGCGACAACGCCATTAAGAAGCAAGTGGCCACTGGGAGTAAAAGAGAACGAGAAGACTTTACGAGGAAGCGGAAACCCAATCCTTAACAGGAAACAAGAGATGAGTATCTACTCCAGTTCAGGAGACTGGTAAAGAGACTGAACCGGGCGATAGGCGAGCCTAACTACTCTCCGGAGACGATACATGTATAGATTTAAGTAGACTTTCGAAGCAACCGGAAATCCAATTTTAGAAATGGATAACCTTCTACTCCAGTTTCAATGACAGGAGAGAAGTGTGAACCGGGCGATAGGCGAGCCTAACTACTCTCCGGAGACGATACATGTATAGATTTAAAGTAGACTTTTGAAGCAACCGGAAATCCAATTTTAGAAATGGATAACCCTCTACTCCAGTTTCAATGACAGGAGAGAAGTGTGAACCGGGCGATAGGCGAACCTATCTACTCCTATTGAAATAATAATGAATGAATAAAGAAATAATTAATAAATAAAATTTCAGAGTTCAGATGGAGAAGTTAGATGTACAAAGCTGAAGTAGACTTTAGAAGAGCCGGAAATCTTATTTTAAAAAGTGGATAAACCTCTACTCTAGTGCAAATGACTGGGGAAGAGTGGGAACCGGGCGATAGGCGAATCGATCTGTTGCTATATATTTCATCATCAACGAGCAGACACTGCATTTTCGCCTGCCATGATGAACGGTTGAAAACTCAAGAATGTCTTAATTTTAACATTTAGTTGGACCCAAGTCCACCCCGGACACCCTAGTGGAACTTATAACCGCTTCTAGTAATTATGTCCACACAAGCATATAAATACATAAAAGATGAGCATCATCTACCATATATTCAATTGTGAAAGTTGAATAACATCATATTTTTACTACTTCAATGCTCCCAAGAAAATTAAATTTTGTCATTAAATGACCCATGAGGAGTTGATGTGCCGTTAAAGAGATAAATCATTTAATCACTTTTCGAAAATTAAATTTCGGCATTAAATGACCCATAAGAAGTTAATGTGCCGTTAAACAGTCAAATCACTTAATCAATTTTCGAAAATTAAATTTCGGCATTAAATGACCCATAATGTGTTGACGTGCCGTTAAACACACAAATCAATCAATCAATTTCCGAAAAATAAGTTTCAGCATTAAATGACCCATAAGGTGTTCATGTTCCGTTAAACAAGCAAGCAATTCACTCAATCAATTTTCGAAAAATAAGTTTCAGCATTAAATGACTCATAAGGTGTTCATGTGCCATTGAACAAATAATTCAATCACCCAATTTACACTAAGGAATACCATATGTGTAAACAACTTTTGCTTCTTAAACAGGAAGCAGTCACAATATGTTTTTATGTAGAAGAAATATATTTCATTTTCAGATGAATAAATTAGAAACAAATTACATGCAGTGATATGAGTTAATTACATTGTCATGAGTGAGTTACAGAGAGTGAAAATTAACGAAATTGCGAAGACTGTGAATGGGGAGGATTGAGGGGAGGACAAAAAAGAACAGGGCTCAAAAAGCCAGATGTCGTTTGACGTTGCATTTAAATTTTTGAAGATTGTAGTTATCAGGGAAGCAAGAAATCGGAAGGGGGTTCCACATGTGGGAAGTACGAGAAAAGAAACTTAGAGTAGAACTGGTGGTTGCATCTAGCTTGTGCAACAGTAAAAGGGCGAGACCTAATTGCCAACCAAGTAGCATGCTCAAATTCATGTAGTCGGGGCACATAGAAAAATAAGTCCAGGCATGATGGAATTTTATTGACTGTTCTTTTAACATCGTTGACCAATGTGCATAGTATCGATGTCCGTTTGATGTTATTCTTCTATTTGGTATTTATGACAAAACCATTTCCATAAAATATACTAGTTCAACAGTAAAATTTACTAGCCCACATTAATACATGCAGTCAAGGCACTAGGGGAAAAAGCTCATCAGAACAGTAAAGATGACAATACATGTAGAAAAGGTTGAGGAAAGCCACGGCATATCTGTGAGAGAGTGACTGAAGTCGAAATACCTGGTCAGAATCGATTATATTACAGACACTTTTTGAAAGGGTCAGTAATATATATATAAGAAATACAGGAGGAGCCTCAGACCTGATATGGCAGCGGTATTCAATGCACGGACAAATGGTATATTTATAAATGTGCAAGATGGATTCTGAGGAGCAAAGTTTTCTTGTACGACAGAGTGAAGCAACTTCCCTTGCAACCAAGGACGCATTCCAAAAGCTGGGCAGTGTATTCCGAGACAGGACGGTTTCTTTGGTAACAAAGAAAAGAATACTGCGCTGTTACGTGATATCTGTCCTTCTTTACGGCAGCGAATGTGGTTTGGCTATCAACATATTAGCTAGGGAGTAGTAAATGCGGCAGGTATCAATAGACTGCAGAAGAACTAAAAATTGATCGCTGCATTTGAGTATTGAATTAATGTTTAAGCATATCTTTTAAAAGTTCAACGATAATTCTTCTGTTACCAGAGAAAAATAACAAAAACGGAAATGTTCCCTCATCAGAAAAGGATATCAAAGAATTATCTGTCATCCCAAATAACTAAGGGGGAAAAAACATTGATTTTAGATTCAAATCTAAAGTGATTTATGTTTTCCTTCGTTATTCAGCAAATGACAGACAATGGCAGATAATAATTGCTAATTATTTCTCTCAGTGTTGTGTCTCATATAAGTGGAGAATACTTGAACCTTAACGTCAGTGGTTGCCATCTTTGTTTTTTTTTTCTTTCTTTCGAGACAGGAGAATTTCTTAGGGTAACAAAGAGAAGAATACTGAGCTGTTACGTGATATCTGTCATTCTTTACGGCAGCGAATGTTGGACGATTTCCTTAAAGATGAAGAAGAGACTCGAGGCGCCAGGGATATCGTTCTACAGAAGGATGCTAAGGATATGAACCGAACGTTGCTGCAATGATGAAGCCTTAGTGAGGATGCAAACAAAGAGGAGGTTATACTTAACACCAGGAAGAGGCAGCTGGAGTTTATGGGAGGCACAATGAGGAAGGTGGGCCTGGAGAATCTGATACTCACGGGTCGAATAAAGGGAAAAAGAAACACGGGAAAACAACGCGTCATTCTCAGATGATTAATAAACAAGAAGGATGCTAAGGATATTATTGACCGAACGTGTGAGCAACGATGAGGTCTTAGAGAGGTTTCAAACAAGGAGGAGGCTTATACTTAACATCAGGAAGAGGCAGATGAAGTTTCTGGGACACATAATGAGGAAAGAGGGCCTGGAGAATCTGATACTCACGGGTCGAATAGAGGGAAAGAGAGACCAGGGAAAACAAAGCGTCATTCTCAGATGATTAGTAAACAAGAAGGATGCTAAGGATATCATGGACCGAGCGTGTGAGCAATGATGAGGTCTTAGAGAGGTTGAAAACAAGGAGGAGGCTTATACTTAATATCAGAAATAGGCAGCTGTAGTTTCTGGGACACATAATGAGGAAGGAGGGCATAGAGAATCTGATCCTCACGGGTCGAATAGAGGGAAAGAGAGACAAGGGAAAACAACGCGGGACATACCTAGCGGGCTTGAGCAAGTGGATAACAGAACGTGGTCTGTGGGAGATGGTAGAAAGAAGGAACTTGTTAAGAGCTGCAAGGGATAGAAGGAGGTGGAGAGCCATGATCGCCTACGTCCTGAAAGCACATGAAAAGATAGAAAAGACATACTTTTTCCAGTCCTTTAAATCTCGTAAACTTTCCTTTTTCATTCTAAAGGCTAGTATGGATTCTCTGGATCTTATAGCAATTGTTTGAAATTTACAAGCCATTTTTTGCCCCAGATAACCACTGATTGAAAGTCCATTTTTAGATCAGTTGCCGGGTTTTCTTTGTCGGGTCTGTTGGATTTGCTACCAAGACAGGAGTAAATCCTTGTGTCATCCGGAGAAATACATAGTTCGGAACTAATGGCACTGGGGAGGTGTGCTTAATGAAAACCAGAAACAGCGTCGGTCCAAAGATCGAGCCCTGGGGGGACAACCGCGTTAGTATGAAATGATCTAGAAGCCTGCCCGTTCAACCCGACCTTCATCACTCGTTAGGATTAAACCAAATATAGACAAACCTTTTCTCCCCACAAATCAATATTTTTCACTAATTTCTGAGGTATATGTCTTCGCTTATAATCTTATACATACTTACTTGTACTTGATGAGGCATTCACCCTGGGCGGATTGAGCCGGCTTCTTCCTGTTGTGAGAAGAAGATTCTTGGGATAAATTACAGAAGTAGGGTACCCAGGCCTACTCGGTTAACGTTCTTGCTTGCCGCGGGGTTCCCACAGACGCAGAGACAGGAACGACCAGAAGCCGCCGGTTGCCGATGCAGACGCTCCTTTTTGATTTTCACCAGAGCCCTTGTTAACCGGCGTGTGTCAGGACCTGTCCAGATTAAGGTTCTACCAGGAACGAAGTTCCGGACGGCATAGCTCTGACACTACTGTTTTACACCCCCACCGACTGTGAGGTAAGGGTTGGACTTTGGGGCTTACAGTACCAGGTGTTCCCTAAGCGGTCCCCATCTAAGTACTGACCTGGCTCTACGATGCTTAACTTCGGTGATCGAACGGTCAAATCACGCCATAATCTTATACAGTGGAAATAGCTGAGGTAACTACTAAACAAATTACATTGAATACTTTTAGCAGAACGGCCTGACTTGTGATAAGCCATAAATCTTTCTGCTCAAAGAAGGTTGCCCACACTTATGTTACACTATGCATATATCCCAGACTGGCAGTAGGCGACAATAAATTACTACTGCTCGAAAACCGCAATGGATTTTAAAAAATTAATTAATGTCTGACTAGATGTTTTGTGCGTATGGTCACGTGTATTCTGTCTCTATTTTATTATAGATGAAAGAATCGTTTCATTGCTGATCAGTTGTATGAATCAGATTGGTTCTTGCTGTCAAAAGGAGGAACGAATGGGGAAGACAAAAACTCGTAAATAGAAGGAGGGTATGTAAAAAGAGAAAATGAAAGGGGAAGAAAAAAGAAAGAAAAAGAAAGAAAGAGTAAAATCAACTGAGACTGAAGTAAAAAACAAAAAAAGAGGAAGAAAATGAGAGAAAATGATGGAAAAGAAATAACTGAGAGAAAAATGAACGAAAAGGCAGTTAAGAAAGAAAGAAAGAAAGCAAGAAAGAAAGCAAGAAAGAAAGAAAGAAAGAAAGCAAGAAAGAAAGAAAGAAAGAAAGAAAGCAGGAAAGAAAAAGAAAGAAAGAAAGAAAGCAAGAAAGAAAGAAAGAAAGAAAGAAAGAAAGAAAGAAAGAAAGAAAGCAAGAAAGAAAAAAGAAAGAAAGAAAGAAAGCAACAAAGAAAGAAAGAAAGAAAGAAAGAAAGAAAGAAAGAAAGCAAGAAAGAAAGAAAGCAGGAAAGAAAAAAGAAAGAAAGAAAGAAAGAAAGCAAGAAAGAAAGAAAGAAAGATAAGAAAGAAAAAAAGAAAGAAAGAAAGAAAAGAAAGAAAGAAAGAAAGAAAGAAAGAAAAGAAAGAAAGAAAGAAAAAAGAAAGCAAGAAAGAAAAGCAACAAAGAAAGAAAGAAAGAAAAGCAAGAAAGAAAGAAAGAAAGAAAGAAACTGCAAAAGAAAAAAGCAAAGAAAGAAAGAAAGCAAGAAAGAAAAGAAAGAAAAAAGAAAACAGGAAAGAAAAAAGAAAGAAAGAAAGAAAGCAAGAAAGAAAGAAAGAAAGCAAGAAAGAAAGAAAGAAAGAAAGCAAGAAAGAAAAAAGAAAGAAAGAAAGAAAGCAACAAAGAAAGAAAGAAAGAAAGAAAGCAACAAAGAAAGAAAGAAAGAAAGAAAGAAAGAAGTAAAGAAAGAAAGAAAGAAATATAAAGAGGAATAGAATGAAACAAAATAACGGTATGAAGAAAAATTGTGAAACTAAAAATTTGGGTGAGAGAATGAGGGGGAAAACGCGAGAGGGAAAGTGAGAGGGAGAGAGGGGGAATGATGAATAAGGGAAAATAGATAGAGAGAAAAAAAAAGGAGAAAACGCTCTGATAGAAAGTAAGTGGAAAAGACGAGATAATAAAGAAAGTGCCTGTAATGTTATAGAAATGATTAATTAAAACTATTATTCTATTTAAAGTTGTGAGTGTTTAAATGTCGACGTTAAGATAGATAGATAGATAGATAGATAGATAGATAGATAGATATATATATATATATGAACAAATGTGCTAGGTTTCATAATACACTGCCAGAGATAGATAGATAGATAGATAGATAGATAGATAGATAGTTTAACGTTGTTATTTATAGATACAAGTATTTAAGCAAATGCTCTGTTTATGATAAACAGTATTAAATAACATTTACCGGCCTGAATGTCCCTTTTATCAATTAAATGTTATTTAATACTGTTTATCATAAACAGAGCATTTGCTTAAATACTTGTATCTATAAATAACAACGTTAAACCCTAAAAAATGTCTTTAATAAATAAATAAATTGTCGGACCTTGTCCATTTCTTAATATAGATAGATAGATAGATAGATAGATAGATAGTGATAGATTATGAGATAGAAAGAAAGAAAGAAAGAAAGAAAAGAAAAAAAAAGAAAAGAAAGAAAGAAAAGAAAGAAAGAAAGAAAAAAAGAAAGAAAGAAAGAAAAGAAAGAAAGAAAAGAAAAAAAAATTCGAATGAAAAAAGAAAGAAAGAAAAGAAAAAAAGAAAAGAAAAGAAAAGAAAGAAAATAGCAAAAGAAAATAGAAAAAAAAAGAAAAGAAAAAAAGAAAAAAAAGAAAGAAAAGGAAAGAAAGAAAAGAAAAAAAAAAGAGAAAAAAGAAGAAAAACAGAAAGAAAAGAAAGAAAAGAAAAAAGAAAAGCAAAGAAAGAAAAAAGAAAGAAATTTGAAATAAGAAAGAAAAAAAAAAGAAAAGTTTAAAGAAAGAAAAAAAGAAAAAAAGAAAAAAAAGATTTTAAGAAAAAAAATCAAAAAAAGAAAGAAAACTGAAAAAGAAAAGAAAGAAAAGAAAAAAAAAAAAGAAAAAAGAAAGAAAAAGAAAAAAGAAAAGAACCTTAAAATATAGAAACAAAAAAGAAAAAATTAAAGAAAGAAAAGAAATAAAAACAAAGAAAAGAAAAAGAAAAAACGAAGGACAAAGAAAAAAGAAAAAGAAAAGAAAGAAAGAAAAAAAAAGAAAAAAAGAAAAGAAAAAGAAAAGAAAAGAAAAAAGAAAAAAGAAAAAAAAAAGAAAGAAAAAAAGAAAGAAAAAAGAAAAAAGATAAAAAAGAAATATAAAAAGGGCATTAATACGGATTTATATTTATTTAAATGAAAAATCGGTAAAAAAAAAGAAAAGTAAAAAAGAACGAAAGATAGAAAGAAAGACGGAATAGCAGAAAAAAGAAACAAAAAAATGAAAAAAAAAAAGATTGAATAACTAGACACAAAAATTAAGAAAATAAATGAACAAAAAAATCAAAGAAAAAAGGAAACATGGAATAACTGAAATACAGCGTGTCCATAAAGTTCGTGTCCACATGAAAAAAATTATAACTTTATCTATATTTGCGATAGAAATAATCTGTAAAAAATGTGATAAAATTTAATGTACCTAGTTTTAAGTATATCTAAAATAACTAATGTGATTTCAGGCATTACTGTAAATCAGTTGGTAAATGTTTTCGGTGAACTGCAAAATCGTATTACCCTTTGTATTGCTAATGATGGAGGACATGTGGAAACTTAAATAAAAATTTCAAAGAAACCTTAAAAATATAGATTTAAAAAAGCAAGAATCCGTTTAAAAATTATTTTTTATCGCTTATACAAATAAAGTTATAATTTTCTGAAAGCGCACACGAACTTTATGGACAGCCTGTTCAATAGAAATATAAAACCGGAAAGAGACTGAAAGTAAAAGAGAAAAACACACAAAAGAGGAAAGAGAGAAGGAAAGAAAGGGGACATAAAGAACAAAAAAGAAAGAAAGAAAGAAAGAAAGAAAGAAAGGGCATTACCAGTAAGAGAGTTAAACAAAAGAGAAAGCGAGGGAGAAAGCGAGAGAGAATGAGATCCTAAGAAAGAGAGATGGGATAAGGGGACTTGAAAAAGAAATAAAAAAATATCCTAACAGAAATTAAATGTAAAGAGATAAATAAAAAAAAAGAAGAAAGAAAACAAATAAAGAAAAAGAGAAAGATGGGATAACATGATATGAAGAAGAAATAAAAAACCGTAAAAGAAATAAAAAGTAAAATATATAAGTATCTGTCTATATTTCTGAGATGAAGGAATGTATTATTTAAAAATGTTACATTATTCTGACCATTGAAATCATCTTTTGTCGCTTTTATTAATACAAAAGATCGGCCTTTCAGTATCTGTCTATATTTCTGAGATGAGGTATTATGTACACTATTTACATTATTCTGACCATTGTCCTCATCTTTGTCGCCATATTTATTACAATGGTTCGGCCTTTCAGTATCTGTCTATATTTCTGAGATGAGGCGTTATGTACACTATTTACATTATTCGGACTATTGTCCTCATCTTTGCCGCCATAAAATATATAAATAGAAATAAAGAAAAAAGAAAGAAAGAGAGGAAAAAAAGAAAGAAAACAAAAGAATCATTGATGGAATAACTGAACCTAAAATCGTGAAAAAGAAAGAAAGAAAGAAAAAAGAAAGAAAGAATTGATAAATGGAAGAAATAAAGAATTAATGAGTTCTTGAAAGAAAGAAATAAAGAAAGAAAGAAAGAAGAAAAAAGAAAGAAAGAAAGAATTGATAAATGGAAGAAATAAAGAAATTATGAGTTCTTGAAAGAAAGAAAGAAAGAAAGAAAGAAAGAAAAAAGAAAGAAAGAAAGAAAGAATTGATAAATGGAAGAAATAAAAAGAATTAATGAAAAGAAAAAGAAAGAAAAAAAGAAAAGAAAAAGAAAGAAAGAAAAAGGAAAGAAAGAAAAAATTGAAAATGGAAGAAATAAAAAAAATGAGTTCTTGAAGAAAGAAAAAAAAAGAAAAGAAAGAAAGAAAGAAAAAGAAAAAAGAAAAAGGAAAGAAAAAAAAAAAACAAGATAAATGGAAAAAATAAAGAATTAATGAGTTTTTGAAAGAAAGAAAGAAAGAAGGAAAGAAAGAAAGAATTGATAAATGTAAGAAATAAAGAATTACTGAGTTCTTGAAAGAAAGAAAGAAAGAATTGATAAATCGAAGAAATAAAGAATTAATGAGTTCTTGAAAGAAAGAAAGAAAGAAAGAAAGAAAGAAAGAAAGAAAGAGTATATGAAAGTAGGACACTAAAGAAAGAAATTGAAGGCTGCAATAAATGAAGATAGAGAGAATGAAAGAATTATTTGAAATTAGCAAACGAAATTAACATATATTAAATGAAGAATGAATTATTTAAAAATAACATTTTGGAAAAAAATAACCGAGAAATGAATATGTCATGAAATTGAAGATTAAATAAATAAATAAATAAAGATGAATGAAAAAGAAAGAAAGAAAGAATTAATGAAAGAAAGAGACAATGATTTGAAATTAGCATACCAAAGAATAGTATTGAAAGTGGAACAAAAAGAAAGAACGTAAGAAGAAAGAATGCGTGAAAGAGAAAGAAAGAATTATTTGAAAGTAGTACACCAAACAAAGGAACTAAAAATTAAACAAATAGAAAGAAAGAAAGCGTTAAAGAAAAAGAAAGAATGAAAGAAAGATTGAAAGAAAGAAGCAAAGAAAGAAAGAAATAATGAAAGAAGAAAGCAAGCAGGTAAGAAAAAAAAAGAAAGAAAGAAAGAAAGAAAAAGAAAGAAAGAAAGAAAGAATGAATGACAAAAAGAAAGAAATATTTGAATGGAGGACAGCAGGGAAAAAATGAAAATTTAAAAAAAAAATGAAATAAAAAAAAAGAATGATTAAAAGGATTTGAAATGATCACGGCTTAGAAAGAAATTAACAAGTAGCAAAAAGGAAAGAAGGAAAATAACATGCTGAAAGTAAAAAAAAAACGTGAAAGAAAGAAAGATATAAACAAAGTTTAAAAAAAAAGAAAGAAACAAAGGAAAACTGATTTGAATGTAGCACTCCAAAGAAAGAATTTAAAAGTTAAACAAAAAGAAGAAAAAAAAGAAAGAAAGAAAAAGACAATATGCTAAAATAAAGTAACTGTGTAAAAAAGGAGCAAACAATTGAAACAAGAAATAAAGGAAGCAAGAAAAAAGAAAAAAAGAAAGAAAAATGATTTGAAATAGCATACCAAAGAAAGTATTGTAAGTGGAACAGAAAGAAAGAAAAAAAGAAAAGGAAAGAAAGAAAGAAAGAAAGAAAAGGAAAGAAAGAAAAAAAGAAAGAAAGAAAGAAAGAATGATTTGAAAGTAGTACACCAAAGAAAGGAACTGAAAGTTGAACAAAGCATAAAGAAGACGTTAAAGAGAAAGAAAGAAAGAAAGAAAAAAGAAGGATAGCAAGAAGGAAAGAAAGAATGATTTGAAAATAGCATACCAAAAATGGGATTGTTAGATGAACAAATAGAATTAAAGAAGAAAAAAACGTGAAAGAAAAAAATAAACAAAGAATGAATCATAGAAAAAAAAAGAAATGAATGAAAGAATAAAAAAAAAAAGGAAAAAAAAAAGAAAGAATTATTTCAAAGTAGCATACCAAAGAGAATGTATTGAAATTGAACAAAATGAAAGAAACGAGAAATTAAAGAAAAAAAGAAAAAGAAATGAATGAAAGAGAAAAAATGAATGAACGAAAAAGAAAAAAATAAAGAAAGAATATTTTGAAAGAAACAAGAAAGCATGAAAGAAAAAGAATGCATTGAAAAGAATGAAAAAAAAAAGAAAGAAAAAAGAAAAAAAAAGAAAGAGATTGAATTGAACAAAATGAAAGAAACAAGAAAGAAAAACGATGAAAGAAAAATAGAAAGTAAATAAAGAAAAAGAAAATGAAAAAAGAAAGAAAGAAAAAAGAAAGAAAGAAGAAGCATACCAAAGAAAGAAGATTGAAACATTTGAACGTAAAAGAAAGAAACGATGAAAGAAAAAAAGAAAGTTAAATGAATGAAAAAAAAAGAAAAGAATGAACAAAAGAAAGAAAGAAAAATAAATAAAGTATCAAAAAGAAAACATTGAAAAAATGAAAGAAAGAAAGAAATGAAAAAATAGAAAGTTAAACCAATGAAAGAGAGAAAGAATGAATCAAACTAGAAAGAAAGGAAAAAGAAGGAAAAAATGAAAGAAAAAGAAAGAAATGAAAAGAAAAAAGAATGAATGAAAGAAAGAAAGAAATAAAGAAAGAAAAAAGAACCATGAAAGTAGCATGCAAAAAAGATTGAAATGAATGAAAGAAAAATAAGAAAGAAATGATGAAAAAAAAAAAAGAAAGAAAAAGAAAAGAATGAATGACAGAAAGAAAAGAAAGAAAGAATGATTTGAAAAAGTATGAAAAAGAGATTGAACATTGAACAAAATGAAAACAAAAGAAACGAAAAGAAAAAAGGATGAAATGAAAAAAGAGAAAAAAAAATGAATGAAAGAAAGAAAGAATGAAAGAAAGAAATTTGAAAGAAGCATGAAAGAAAGAGATTGAAAGAAAAAAAAATGAAAGAAACAAGAAAGAAACGAATGAAAGAAAAAAAAGAAAGCATAATGAAAGAAAGAGAAAAAAATGAAATGAACATTGAAAGAAAGAAAATGAAAGAAACAATTGAAAACAAATGAAACGAAAGAAAGAAAAAAAAAGAAAGTTAAATGAATGAAAGAATGAATGAAAGAAAAGAATGAATGACAGAAAGAAAAAAAGAAAAGAAAGTTAAATGAAAAAAGAAAGAAAAGAAGAATGATTTGAAAGTAGCATAAACAAAATGAAAGAAAGATTGAACATTGAACAAAAAAGAATGAAAGAAACAAAGAAAGAAAGAAACGATGAAAGAAAAAAAAAAAAAATGAAAGAAATAAATGAATGAAAAGAAAAAAAAGAATGAATGACAATGAAAGAAAGAAAGAAAAAAAAGAAAGAATGATTTGAAAGTAGCATGCCAAAGAAAGAGATTGAACATTGAACAAAATGAAAGAAACAAGAAAGAAACGATGAAAGAAAAAAAAGAAAGTTAAATGAATGAAAGAGAGAAAAAATGAATGACAGAAAGAAAGAAAAAAAGAATGATTTGAAAGTAGCATACCAAAGAAAGAGATTGAACATTGAACAAAATGAAAGAAACAAGAAAGAAACGATGAAAGAAAAAAAAGAAAGTTAAATGAATGAAAGAGAGAAAGAATGAATGACAGAAAGAAAGAAAGAAAGAAAGAAAGAATGATTTGAAAGTAGCATACCAAAGAAAGAGATTGAACATTGAACAAAATGAAAGAAACAAGAAAGAAACGATGAAAGAAAAAATAGAAAGTTAAATGAATGAAAGAGAGAAAGAATGAATGACAGAAAGAAAGAAAGAAAGAAAGAATGATTTGAAAGTAGCATACCAAAGAAAGAGATTGAACATTGAACAAAATGAAAGAAACAAAAGAAAGAAAAAAAAAATAGAAAGTTAAAATGATGAAAGAAAAAATAGAAAGTTAAATGAATGAAAGAGAGAAAGAATGAATGACAGAAAAGAAAGAAAGAAAGAAAGAAAGAATGATTTGAAAGTAGCATGCCAAAGAAAGAGATTGAACATTGAACAAAAAAAAGATGAAAGAAACAAAAAAAAAGAAACAAGATGAAAGAAAAAAAAAAAAGTTAAATGAATGAAAGAGAGAAAAAGAATGAATGACAGAAAGAAAAGAAAGAAAGAAAGAAAGAATGATTTGAAAGTAGCATACCAAAGAAAGAGATTGAACATTGAACAAAATGAAAGAAACAAGAAAGAAACGATGAAAGAAAAAATAGAAAGTTAAATGAATGAAAGAGAGAAAGAATGAATGACAGAAAGAAAGAAAGAAAGAAAGAAAGAAAGAATGATTTGAAAGTAGCATACCAAAGAAAGAGATTGAACATTGAACAAAATGAAAGAAACAAGAAAGAAACGATGAAAGAAAAAAAAGAAAGTTAAATGAATGAAAGAATGAAAAGAATGAATGAAAGAAAGAAAGAAAGAAAGAAAAAGAGATTGAAAGAAGAAACCAAGAAAAAGAAACGATTTGAAAGTAAGAATAAAAAAAAAAAGAAAAAAAGATTGAACAATGAACAAAATGAAAGAAACAAGAAAGAAACGAAAGAAAAGAAAAAATAGAAAAGAAAGAGAAATGAATGAAAGAGAAAAAATGAAAAAAACAATGAAGAAAGAAAAAAAAAAAAGAAAGAAAGAAAAAAAGAAAATGAATGATTTGAAAGTAGCATACCAAAGAAAGAGATTGAACATTGAACAAAATGAAAGAAACAAAAAAAGAAATGAAATGAAAAAAAAAAAAGAAAAAAGAAAAAGAAAGTTAAATGAATGAAAAAAATGAAAGAAAGAAAGAAACGATGAAAGAAAAAATAGAAAGAAATGAATGAAAGAAAAAGAAAAGAAAGAATGATTTGAAAGTAGCATGCCAAAGAAAGAGATTGAACATTGAACAAAATGAAAGAAACAAGAAAGAAACGATGAAAGAAAAAATAGAAAGTTAAATGAATGAAAGAGAGAAAGAATGAATGACAGAAAGAAAGAAAGAAAGAAAGAATGATTTGAAAGTAGCATGCCAAAGAAAGAGATTGAACATTGAACAAAATGAAAGAAACAAGAAAGAAACGATGAAAGAAAAAATAGAAAGTTAAATGAATGAAAGAGAGAAAGAATGAATGACAGAAAAGAAAGAAAGAAAGAAAGAAAGAAAGAAAGAATGATTTGAAAGTAGCATACCAAAGAAAGAGATTGAACATTGAACAAAATGAAAGAAACAAAAAAAGAAACGATGAAAGAAAAAAATAGAAAGTTAAATGAATGAAAGAGAGAAAGAATGAATGACAAAAAGAAAGAAAGAAAAAGAAAGAATAATTTGAAAGTATCATACCAAAAGAAAGAGATTGAACATTGAACAAAATGAAAGAAAACAAGAAAAGAAAAAAAGATGAAAGAAAAAAAAAAAATGAAAGAAAGAAATGAAAAAAAGAATGACAAAATGAAAGAAAGAAAGAAAGAAAAAAATAGAAAGAAAAGAAAGAAAGAATGAAAGAAAGAAAGAAAAGAAAGAAAGAATTTTGAAAAGCATACCAAAGAAAGAGATTGAACATTGAACAAAATGAAAAAAAAAAGAAACGATGAAAAAAAAAAAAAAAAAGAAAAATGAATGACAGAAAGAAAGAAAAAAAGAAAGAAAATGAATTTGAAAGAAGAAAGAAAAAAAGAAAATTGAACAAAAAGAAAATGAAAGAAAGAAAAATGAAAGAAAAAAGAAAGAAAAAAAAAAAGAAAATGATTTAAAGAAAGAGATAAAAAAGAAAAAGAAAGAACAAAAAAAGAAAGAAATGAAAAAACAAAAAAAAAAAGAAATGAAAAAAAAAAAAAAGAAAAATGAAAAGAAAAATGAAAAAAAAGAAAGAAAAGAAAGAATGAAAAGAAAAAAAAAGAATGAAAGAAAGAAAGAAAGAAAAAAGAAAAAAGAATGAAAGAAAGTAGCATACCAAAGAAAAGATTGAACATTGAACAAAAAAAAAAAACAAAAAAAAACGATGAAAGAAAAAATAGAAAGTTAAATGAATGAAAGAAAGAAAGAATGAATGAAAGAAAAAAAGAAAAAGAAAGAAAGAATGATTTGAAAGTAGCATGCCAAAGAAAGAGATTGAACATTGAACAAAATGAAAGAAACAAAAAAAAAAACGATGAAAGAAAAAAAAGAAAGTTAAATGAATGAAAGAGAGAAAGAATGAATGACAGAAAGAAAGAAAGAAAAGAAAGAAAAAGAATGATTTGAAAGTAGCATACCAAAGAAAGAGATTGAACATTGAACAAAATGAAAAGAAACAAGAAAGAAACGATGAAAGAAAAAAAAAAAAAATGAAAAAATGAATGAAAGAAAGAGAAAGAATGAATGACAAAGAAAGAAAGAAAGAAAAGAAAAAAGAAAACAAGAAAGAAACAAAGAAAAAAAAAGTTGAAAGTAGCATGAAAAAAGAAAAGAAAGAAAAGAAAGAACATTGAACAAAATGAAAGAAACAAATTGAAAGAAACGATGAAAGAAAAAAAATAGAAAAAAATAAATGAATGAAAGAGAGAATGAATGAAATGATGAATGAAAGAAAGAAAGAAAAATGAAAGAAAAGAAATTGAAAGAAAAAGAAAAAGAAAGAAAGATTTGAAAAAATGAACATAAAGAAAGAAAGAAAAAAGAAAATTGAACAAAAATGAACAAAATGAAAGAGAAAAAAAGAAAAAAGAAAAAAAAGAAAGAAAAAATAGAAAAAGAAATTGAAAGAAACATTGAATGAAAGAAACAAGAAAGAAACGAAAAGAAAAAAAGAAAAAATAGAATGAATGAAAGAAAAAGAAAATGAAAGAAAGAAAGAAAGAAAGAAAAGAATTTTAAGAGAGCATACCAAAGAAAGAGATTGAACATTGAACAAAATGAAAGAAACAAGAAAAAACGATGAAAGAAAAAAAGAAAAAATGAATGAAAGAAGAAAAAAGAATGAATGACAAAAGAAAGAAAAAGAAAGAAAGAAAAAAAGAAAGAAAGAATGATTTGAAAGAAAAGCATGCCAAAGAAAGAGATTGAACATTGAACAAAATGAAAGAAACAAAAAGAAAAAAGATGAAAAAAAAAAAGAAAGTTAAATGAATGAAAGAAAGAAAGAATGAATGACAGAAAGAAAGAAAGAAAGAAAGAAAGAAAAAGAAAAGAAAGAAATGATTTGAAAGTAGCATGCCAAAGAAAGAGATTGAACATTGAACAAAATGAAAGAAACAAAAAAAGAAACGATGAAAGAAAAAAAAAGAAAGTTAAATGAATGAAAGAGAGAAAGAATGAATGACAGAAAAGAAAAAAAAAAGAAAAGAAAGAATGATTTTAATGAAGCAAAGAATGCCAAAAGAAAGAAAGATTGAACATTGAACAAAATGAAAGAAACAAGAAAGAAACGATGAAAGAAAAAAAAGAAAGTTAAATGAATGAAAGAGAGAAAGAATGAATGACAGAAAGAAAGAAAGAAAGAAAGAAAGAATGATTTGAAAGTAGCATGCCAAAGAAAGAGATTGAACAACAAAATGAAAGAAACAAAAAGAAAGAAAAAGAAAAAAATGAAACGATGAAAATGAAAAAAGAGAAAGAAAGAAAAGAATGAAAGTAGCATGAAAGAAAGAGATTGAACATTGAACAAAATGAAAGAAACAAGAAAGAAAGAAAAAAGAAAAATAAAAAGAAATGAAAGAAAGAAAAAGAAATGAAAACAGAAAGAAAGAGAAAGAAAAGAAAGAAAGAATGATTTGAAAGCAATGCCAAAGAAAGAGATTGAACATTGAACAAAATGAAAGAAACAAGAAAGAAACGATGAAAGAAAAAAAAGAAAGTTAAATGAATGAAAAAAGAAAGAAAAGAATGAATGACAAAAAAGAAAGAAAAGAGATTGAAATTGAACAAAAAAAAAGAAAGAAAGAAAAATGAAAAAAAATAAAAATGAATGATTTGAAAGTAGCATACCAAAGAAAGAGATTGAACATTGAACAAAATGAAAAAAGAAACAAGAAAAAAACGATGAAAGAAAAAAAAATAGAAAGTTAAATGAATGAAAGAGAGAAAGAATGAATGACAGAAAGAAAGAAAAAAGAAAGAATGATTTGAAAAGTAGCATACCAAAGAAAGAGATTGAACATTGAACAAAATGAAAGAAAACAAGAAAAGAAAACGATGAAAGAAAAAATAGAAAGTTAAATGAATGAAAGAGAGAGAAAAGAATGACAGAAAGAAAGAAAGCAAGAAAGAAAGAATGATTTGAAAGTAGCATACCAAAAGAAAGAGATTGAACATTGAACAAAAATGAAAAAAAACAAGAAAAGAAACGATGAAAGAAAAAATAGAAAGTTAAATGAATGAAAAGAAAGAAAGAATGAATGAAACAAAAAGAAAAGAAAGAAAAATGAAAGTGAGAAAGAATGATTTGAAAGTAGCATGCCAAAGAAAGAGATTGAACTTTGAACAAAATGAAAGAAACAAAGAAAGAAACGATGAAAGAAAAAATAGAAAGTTAAATGAATGAAAGAGAGAAAGAATGAATGACAGAAAGAAAGAAAGAAAGAAAGAAAAAAAGAATGAAGGAAAAAAGCATACCAAAGAAAGAGATTGAACATTTGAAAGAAACAAGAAACGATGAAAGAAAAAAGAAAGTTAAATGAATGAAAGAGAAAGAATGAAACAGAAAGAAAGAAAAAAGAAAGAAATTTTAAAGAAAAAAAGAAAGAGATTGAACATTGAACAAAATGAAAGAAACAAGAAAGAAAACGAAAAGAAAAAAATAGAAAGAAATGAATGAAAGAGAAAAAATGAATGAATGAAAGAAAGAAAGAAAAGAATGATTTGAATGACAAAGAAAGAGAAACATTGAACAAAATGAAAAACAAGAAAAAATGAAAAGAAAAAATAGAAAGTTTGAATGAAAGAGAGAAAGAATACCAAAAGAAAGAAAGAAAAGAAAAAGAAAGAGAAATTGAACAAAATGAAAGAAACAAAAAAGAAAGAAACGATGAAAGAAAAAAAAGAAAGAATTAAATGAATGAAAAAGAATGAGAAAGAATGAATGACAGAAAGAAAGAAAGAAACGATGAAAAAAAAAATAGAAAGATGAGAAAATTGAATGACAGAAAGAAAGAAAGAAAGATTTGAAATTGAAAAGTAGCATGCCAAAGAAAGAGATTGAACATTGAACAAAATGAAAGAAAGAAACAAGAAAAGAAACGATGAAAGAAAAAATAGAAAGTTAAATGAATGAAAGAGAGAAAAAATGAATGACAGAAAAAAAAAAGAAACAAGAAAAGAAAGAAAGAATGATTTGAATGTAAGAGATGCCAAAAAAAAGAAATTGAACATTGAAACAAAATGAAAAAAACAAGAAAGAAACGATGAAAGAAAAAAATAGAAAGTTAAATGAATGAAAGAGAAAAAAGAATGAATAAAGAAAAAAAAGAAAAGAAAGAAAGAAAGAAATAGTAAAAAGAATGATTTGAAAGTAGCATAAAAATGAAAAAACAAGAAAGAAACGATGAAAGAAAAAATGAACAAAATGAAAGAGAAAGAATGAAACAAGAAAAGAAAAAAAAGAAAGAAACGATGAAAAGAAAAAGATTAAAAGAAAGAAATGAATGAAAGAAAAAAAAGAAAGAAAGAATGAAGAAAGAAAGAAAGAAAGAAAGAAAGAAAGAAAGAAAGAATGATTTGAAAGTAGCATGCCAAAGAAAGAGATTGAACATTGAACAAAATGAAAGAAACAAGAAAGAAACGATGAAAGAAAAAATAGAAAGTTAAATGAATGAAAGAGAGAAAGAATGAATGACAGAAAGAAAGAAAGAAAGAAAGAATGATTTGAAAGTAGCATGCCAAAGAAAGAGATTGAACATTGAACAAAATGAAAGAAACAAGAAAGAAACGATGAAAGAAAAAAAAGAAAGTTAAATGAATGAAAGAGAGAAAAAATGAATGACAAGAAAGAAAGATGAAAGAAAAAAAGAAAGAAAGAAAAGAAAATGACAGAAAGAAAGAAAGAAAAAATTTTGAAAGTAGCATACCAAAAAAGAGATTGAACATTGAACAAAATGAAAGAAACAAGAAAGAAACGATGAAAGAAAAAATAGAAAGTTAAATGAATGAAAGAGAGAAAGAATGAATGAATGAAAAAAAAAGAAAGAAAGAAAGAAAGAATAATTTGAAAGTATCATAAAAAGAAAGAAACAAGATTGAACATTGAACAAAATGAAAAGAAACAAGAAAGAAACCATGAAAGAAAAAAAAAGAAAGTTAAATGAATGAAAGACAGAAAGAATGAATGACAGAAAAAATGAAAGAAAGAAAGAAAAGAAAAGAAAAAAAAAAGAAAAGAATGATTTGAAAGTAGCATACCAAAAGAAAAAAGAGAAAGAACATTGAACAAAATGAAAAAAACAAGAAAGAAACCATGAAAGAAAAAAAAAAGTTAAATGAATGAAAGACAGAAAGAATGAATGACAGAAAGAAAGAAAGAAAGAAAGAAAGAATGATTTGAAAGTAGCATACCAAAGAAAGAGACTTGAACGTTGAACAAAATGAAAGAAGCAAGAAAGAAACCGAGAAAGAAATAAAAAAAGAAAGAATTAATGAAAGAAATTACGGGAAGTCAAAAGACAGAACGTGAAGCAAGAAGAATTATTAAGAAAGTATTATCATATCTTGAGGGAAAGAAATGAAGAGGGGAGTGGCCATTGTAAGATGTTCGACACCGAGTTGTGTGAGGTAAGGTGGGTAACGGGAGGGCTTTGGGTGGCGTCAGGTGGGGCAGCGATCAGATCTTGACACTTAATAAAACGCCGGCTAATCTCTTGTAATAGAAGCGATCGGCGCGCCCCCTATCGACCCGTGAGATGCATGTTCTTCATTCCGCCGCCACTCGCTAGATGGCTCTCATGTCATACTGACGTCATTCTCTTCCATTCAGTCGACGGTTGAAGTACATTACTCGAGGCTATTGTCGATTGGAGGAGCCGGTGGAGAGACCTTGTGCTCTTCCCCTAGCCCTGTTTTCAAAATCCTCTCTCTTTCCTTCTCTCCTCGTATTTTTCTCCCTCTGTCAGACGTTCTTCTCGAGCGGCTTCATTATATCCGCCTGGCCTTTTGCATTCCATCCTCTGCCTCTCACAAACCGGTACCTATATTTTCGTCTTTCTTTTTCTGATCGTATTATTGATGTTTACTTATCTTAATGTGCGGCAGAAGGCCAAAAAACATTGAGTAACGAGTGAGCAACAACTTTACCGTGAATTTAAACTTGAACACAGTGTTTTCCAAAACCTAAACAGAGTATTAAGAAACAGGAAATTTTCGTTGGAAAGAAAGAAAAGAGTACTGAACCGTTTCGTGACAACTGTCCTCCTGTGTGACAGCGAAAGGACTATCTTCTCAAAGATCACGAAGAGACTTGATATAACAAAAAATGTGGTTCTACAGAAGGATGATGGGGATAATATGGGCCAATCATATGAGCTTTGGTAAGGATATAAACAAAAAAAGAAGCTTATAACCTAACACCAGGAAGAGGCAGGTGAAATTTCTGGGATATGTAATGAAGAAAGAGGGCTTGGAAAATCTGATACTCACAGGGTAGATAGAAGGGAAGAGGAAAGCAATGCGTGACATATTTGATAGGCTTCAGTAAATGGGTGGCAGAACAGGGTTTGGGAGAAAAAAACAAAATTTATTAATAGCTACAAGGGACGGGAAGATGTGGTGGGCCATGATCGCCTACGACCGGAAGGGACACAGTGCATAAAAGAGAAGTAGTCGTTCTGTATTTCGATTTAAGGGGCAAGCATAGCAAAATTACGTTCCAGCAACCGAAAACGTTGAGATAAAAAAGCGGGAAGACAGGCAAATAATTTTCCACCATTTTCTATCACGTGTGGCTCTTAGCAGTTTTCTCCCCTTTGCTAAATAGAGGACAGTCCGGGTGATTCTGATGTGTGTGTGTTTTTGTGTGTGTCCGGGTGTTCGTCAGGTGTGTTCGGATAATTTTCTTCTATGGTTGTTCATGAATGTTCGGGGTGGGAGATGTGTGTGTCTGTATTTTTGTCAAGTGTGTAACAATTGTTCTACTACATTCGTCGAAAGCATTGTTGTATATCCGGATCAAGATTGTGGATAAACTGTCCAAAGTTCGTATTTTTCCAGTTTCAGTACAATTTAACCTGTCAAATAGCAGAAAAATTTTG